TGTGGTGACCGCAAGCCGCCGCCACCGCTGCTGTCTTCGTCCTCACTGCTGCGATGAGAGCTCACAAGTTTCGACGTCGATTTGAGCAACCTTCTTACCTTGCCTCTATTTTGCACACCCCATACGGTTGTTGTACGGGATTTTGTTTTTATCGTGTGCGTGTATATACATCACATATACAGTATCTAGCGCGGTATATTGAGGCACCATGGCGGCTAGGAGATGTTGACGACCTCGGCTGTTATGCAGGAGGTCGTGGGTTCAATCGCGACCTTGACACATGCCGTATATTTGGAGTTGCTATGTTTTCCCCGTGGTCGTCTTAAGAATTTTTATTCCGGGGTCCTCCGATTATTCCCTCCACATTTAGAAGCACGCGTTGAGAGTGTTTGCCTACTGCTGTAAGTGTCAGCGTGATGATCGCCAGGTCGCCGCTGAGGAAAGAGCCACTTGGCTCGGCCGGGGTCTTGCGCGCTAAAAGACAATCGCTTGTTTCCCATCCTGCGCCCATGTAGCATCCTCCTCCGGCGTGCGGCACGCACACGCACAGTCGGAGACGATGCAGTCGCAGGAGGCACCGTCTCTTATTTCCGTTACACCAACTCCGGCCTCTCTCTCTCTCTCTCGACCACGCTGCCGTACAGCCGCGGCCCAGACACGACCCTGAACCGCGTTGCGTCGACCGAGACGACCAACCGCTGTCCGGCCGCACAATTACCGGTGAAGGCGACAATGAGAAGAAGAGTCCATTCCCAGTACCGGCAGCCCGGAGCGCTCTCACCGCTGCTTTTATATTGCCCCTTGCCCCTCCCTGGCCCCGTCCCTGGCCTCACCTCCCTTCTCAAACCAACCAGAGGGTTCCAGGGGCCTCCCTCCCTGTGAGGTCTTCCATGACCCTTGCCCCGGTTCCTCCGCCCTGCCGGCACGCAGCGGCCGTGTGTAGACTCTCGACGGCGTGAGTGCACTCGCTGTCCACAGCAGTTGCCGCCGCTGGACAGCGGTCGGCGCTGTGTCACTACACAACTTCAGAGAAGAATAACTCGTGTGTGTGTGTGTACATCGCGTAATATTCAAATTTACAAACCTGTAGAAATTCCACAGATATTTGCTCTATTTAACTTTTTATCATGTAGCACTTTTTCAGGAGAGGCCTGGCTATCGCACTTTATAGCTCAAGCAAGTGGCCGATATCATCATCACGTGGTAATTTATAGCAGCAGCCAAATCACTCCAAACGCGTAGAGACGTTGATTCTAAAACCAGAGGGACCTGGAGATAAATCCACGCAACCACGGGGAGAGACATGCAAACTCAAAACGTACATGCAGCAGCAGGCATTTTTTAAGGGGTTGGGATCGAACCCACAACTGCCTGCATACCAGGCGAGGTAGTCAACATCCCCCGTCCACCGTGACTTCCGCCCCCATCCCTCTGCAGGTCGCTCACACTGTGGGCCCCCAACTTTGACCCCTCCGAGTATCGGCCGCTGTGCATTTGGGTGCCGGGGCTGTCCCCCGCACAGCGCAGAATATGCCTGCGGCACCGGGACCACATGGCGCACGTGGCCGAGGGCGTCCACCTGGCGCTGTCCGAGTGCCGGCACCAGTTCCAGGGAAAACAGTGGAACTGCGCCGTGCCTGGCGTGGAGGACACGCTGGACCCCGTGGCCAAGTCGGGTGAGGGGTCAGAGCGAGCCCGCCACATCCACTCGCACTTAAGGTCCCCGACCGGTTCCCCGAGACACGCACACAGAAGCTTTTTTGGGGGGGGGAAAGGGGGGGGGTCGCCCACCTCCCTCCCCTACGCGACTCTGCTTCGGAGTTCCCGCGTTCCTCCTCCAGGGGTTTCCCCCTCCCCTACGCGACTCTGCTTCGCAGAGTTCCCGTCCTCGGGCAGCGGGAGATGTCCACGGGCGGCCCAAGCGGCCGCCCCGTTAACCCGATGACAACCGCCTTCGCTCTGGGCCAGTGCCAGGCTGCGGCTCGCTCGCTTCACTGCTCTTGACGCTCCTGGCACGCCTCTTGGGGGTCCCGGACGTCCCACCGGCCCTGGTTCGCTCCCCAGGTCGGCCGCTATAAACGCAGCAATCGTAATACCCGTCACCTGATCGTTTCCCTGTCCCGAGATCTATTCCGCGGAGTTGGAGACGGCGTTCGGCTCCTACCCGCGGCGACGATCCCCCTGGTCCCCACTCGTGTCGGTCCTTGAGGGTGGGAGCTCTCCCCAGCCGCTCGTGCTGCTGCCGCTTCTGAGCTGCGCGCCCCCACGCCACCGATTCGGGGGCTCTCCTTTCGCAGGGCCGCGGAGCCCATTGTTCGGTCCCCCGGGCAAATCCCGTGAGAGGGGTCTGTCTCTAAATAGGCGACGTTTTCCCTACCACCTGCTTGGCGTGTTCTCCCCCAAAACCCCTTCCCACACCGGTCTGGCCGCACCGTCTCCAGCTGACGGGGCGGGCTTCACGCACGACGCCCCCCCGGGAGTCTCCCCAGGCTCGCGCGAGGCCGCGTTCGTCTCCGCCGTCACCGCCGCCGGAGTGGCCCACGCGGTGGCGCGCGCCTGCCGCCAGGGGGCCCTGCAGGGCAGTTGTTCCTGGGTCGTTCCCCACACCATGAAGCTACCGCCGGGTGCTCGGCGGGGCGGCTCCGGAGACGACGTCGAATACGGATACCAATTCGCCAAGTGGTTCGTGGATGCGGGCGATCGCAATCGTGGCAGCGGGCAAGGAGGGGAGTCTTTGGCGATGAATTTGCACAACAACGAGGCCGGCCGGCTAGTGAGTGGGTGAACGGGTGGGTTGTGCATGTGTGTGTATTGTCATTAAAAAAACAAATGTAATGGAAAAAAGTTATTTTATGCGATCAATGCAAATTAGGTTCGGCTTCGTCGGCTCGGGTTGTATTACCAATCGTGATTGATGCAATGATTCTCGCTTTAACTTTCACCGGTTATATTCTTGGTTCTTTCGGTAAAGTCACGTAGAAGGGAAACAATAAAATAATAAAAAATAAAAATATGAACATTAAAATTCTCATGACGTTTCGACTGCAACACAAACAATCATCAAAATTTGAAGAAAAAAAACACTACTTTTTTCAAATTTTCTTGCTTTGGTTTCCACACCTGATGATTGCTTGTGTTGCAGTCGAAACGTCGTGAGAATTTTATTGGTTAATATATTTATTTATTATTTTATTGTTTCCCTTCTACGTGACTTTACCGAAAGAACCAAGAATATGAATCCCTGCAATCACGAAAGCTTTAAATCAAAATTTTACCGGTTTATGTTTCAAGTACAATAACGTCTGGTCGCAGGATACAGTTCTTACATTTAAGATTATTGTTATGCATGAATCTTGATTTGAAGCTTTCGCGACTGCAGGAATCCACACCCCTTTGGGTTCTTTCGGTAAAGTCGTCACGGAGGTAGAAAAAATAAAACGTCCACGCCGTTTTGATCGCAACACCACAAAGCGGTCGTCTTTAGGGCGAAAAAAAGATAACCCAGCAGTTGAACTGCTGGAGCAGCGAGAGAGCCGTTACACACAGCAAGAGGTGATGTTTGTGGCGAAGGGCATGCTGGGTCTGAGCTGGAAAGGAATTCCATCCCCGGACGCAGGCACAGGTGCCGTCGTGACGTCACCGCCACTTGTTAGCGAACGGCGGTTGGTAGTGGCGATTATGATGGTGGCGGTGAGTGTGGTGGTGGTGGTGACGATGATGACGGTGGTGGTGGTGGTGGTGGTGCTGCAGGCGGTGTACAATCTGGCGTACATGGGCTGCAAGTGCCACATGTTATTTGGCACCTGCATGCTGAAAATCTGCTGGCAGCAGCTCGCCGACTTTCGCAGCGTTGGGAACTTTCTGAAGGTGAGCTCACGGCTGCAGGTGATGAGACTGCACCCAGAGGAGGTGAGTGTGGGGTGGGAGTGACGAGGATGAAGCCTTCTAGATTTGAAGTTTCATGACCGCAAGGATCTTTCGGTAAAGTCAAGAAAATAAAAAAATAAAAATATTTAAAAAATCACGACGTTTCGATTGCAACACAGGCAATCGTCATCAGGTGTGACAACCACAGCAAGAAATTTTACTGAAGTGGGAAAGAAGCCGGAGTCAAGGGGTTTATACTGGGCATGGTGGGGGTGGGGGAACCATCACGTTACCATACATAGCAGGCGTTACCAAAAACATTTCCAAAATCTTAAAAACAAGCACAAGATCCAGGTCCGATTCAGTACAGCACACAATCCCTGATCTAATCCCATCTGTGAAGGATGTCATTCCTGACATGCAATACCCTGGAGTTTACAAACTGAGTTGCATTTGTTTCGATTGTTACATTGGGGAAAGGAAATGTCATGTCTCAGACTGTATCCGCGAGATTTGAAACACGGCAGGACTAACTCTTCCGCCGTGGCTGATCACTGCTACAACGCCGTGGGCTCCCATGATATTGTTTTATCCGAGACCAAAGTGCTCTGCAAGCCGTCTGGCTACCATCAAAGATTTGTTCATGAAGCCATCCAGATATACAAACACAGACATAACTTCAACCCAGAGGACAGATACAAACTGAGCAATCATTAAAATGTGTTATTAACCAAGTAAAATTTAACAGTTCATAGTTTTTCCCTCTTATTTACCGGATACTAGTTTATTTTACAGAGTTAATTACATCGTCAGCGCTTGGCAGTGCGGCTATTTTGTTGCGAGTGCCACCATCCGTGTTGGCGGCAATCATTGTAGATGCGTGGCTCTCTCCCCACTGGCCCCTTCTCCCGCACCTACAGCCCCGCCCACTCCCCCCCCCCCCCCCTACCATGGCCAGTATAAACCCCTTGACTCCGGTTTCTCTCCCACTTCAGTAAAATGTTCTTGCTGTGGTTGTCACACCTGATGATGATTGCTTGTGTTGCAATCGAAAAGTCGTGATTACATTTTATTTATCTTTTATTTTCTTTACCTACGTGACTTTACCGAAAGAACCAAGAGTGAGGATGAATCCATAGGAGGGTTACAGACGGGGTGGGGTTGGGGGAGGGGGGGGGTCCCTCACAGCTAAGGGAGCTCCCCGCATTCACTCAACAACCACCACATCCCCTGATGACGACGATGATGGTTGCCGCAGGAAAAGTACGAAAGAAGTTCCGCCGTGCAGCTGGTGAGCCACAACGGTGGGGGTGGTGCCGGAGGCGCCAACGGCAGCAGGGGCGGCGCCGCCCGCTGGCCCCGCCGGCGTCTGGAGGCGGTGAACGAGCGGTTGACGGCGCCCACGGTGAGCGACCTGGTTCACGTGAACGCCAGCCCGGAGTATTGCGAGCGCGACGAGACTGACGGCGTCCCCGGCACGGTGGGGCCGCAGTGCAGCGTCACCTCGGAGGGGGCCACCGAGGGACGCTGTGTCACGTGCTGTGACAGAGGATACGACACCTCTCAAGGTGCGCACATCACCCCACCCACCCCCCCTCCCCTCCCCGAAAATAAACTAAAACTATTCATTAAAAAGCGGCAACTATTTCATATTACACAAAATCCGTGATCTAATCCCATCTGTGAAGGATGTCATTCCTGACCTGCAATACCCTGGAGTCTACAGACGAAGTTGCACATGTGGTAATTGTTACGTTGGGTAAACGAAACGTCACGTCTCTGACCAGATCCGCGAGCACAAGGCAGATCTGAAACGCTCCAAACATACAGCAGCGGTCATTGTCAGAGTTGGGATTGAACCCACGACCCCTGCATATCAGGCGAGATAGTTAACATCTACTAGCCACCGTGATGATGATGAGACGCAGACTCCAAATATGCAGCAGCAGGGGCCGGCATCGAACCCACAACCTCTGCTGTCTCTCTCTCTACATGTGTGTCACATTTCAGTGAAAGGACATTTTCTGAATTTTTCTAATCTGGTATCGAGCAAAAATGTACAACTCAAATGTAGCAGCATTTATCGTTGAAATTACGGACGGCCGAAACACGGAATTGGGAGCCCGCGATCTGAAACGGAGTCAGCCATTTTGATTCCGCTCAGCCACTCGGCTTTCCACAAATAAACCACGGTAAAAAAAAATGATCTCGTCCAGGAGCGTGAACTGTTGGAACAAACTCCGGTCATCTTGGTAGCAGCGGCTTTTTGGCTCGGCCATCGAACAAAGGCGGTGGTCACTGCATCATTGCGCAGCGCTCTCGGATGTGCTTCTGCGGCCGTCTGGAATGCTCTTCCGATATTAGAAGGTGCTTAGATTTAAAGCTCTTCTTTAGAAGCACTTTTAGTGTTTGCCCTTCCCCCGCACCTCCTGAGCATGGTTAGCTACGTACGGTGTGAAGAAGTTCAGCATGCACACTATACACTGCAATGCACGACTACACTATACATCACACACTATACACTACGCTGCATGCTACACTATACAACTATACACCACTCTACACTATTCTACACTACTGTAATGTCCCTCGGAAAACTTGCCTTCGTTCTTTTTTATTAGGGCGCATCGTGCAGATAACATACTTTCATATCCTACGGTACTTCGCTATGACCAGCATATACAGCGCTTGGGCTAGGATAGAAACAAAAACTTGGGCTAGGATAGAAACAAAAACTTGGGCTAGGATAGAAACAAAAACTTGGGCTAGGACAGCGACCCAAGCAACTCCGGCACGGAGACGGCGGCGTCAACGGTGATCGCAAGATTGCGATGAAAAAAATCTCGCGGTCAAAACGACGACAGTTCTCGCGTTCGTTTCGCACTCTCGCCCCGCGCTGTCCCCCCCCCCCCCCCCAGTCACGGTGGAGAAGCAATGCGGATGCAAGGAACAACTCCACTGGAACGTCGATTGCAAGCTGTGCCCATGGACCGATCAATTCTTGTGCAAGTAGCCTCAAGCCGCAGCCTAGGGGTGGCCTCGGCTGAAATCGGACTCCATCTGGTTTCAGCCCCGGGTTCCTGCGGGTGTTTGATGACCCCCACGAAGTTTGTTTGGGGCACCACGGCATCCAGCATGCCCATCGCTACGAGCCGCGTTACACTATACATTACACTACTACAAACGCTACACGTTGATACGCTACACTTCACTACCCTGCTATACACTTGTCAACATCCGCATGTGGTGAATTTCCACAATGCAGAAGCACCGTTGTTTTTGACCGTCACCACTTGAATGCGGTTAGTGACTAAGTGGCCTTGTTGTTCCTTTTTACTCCGTTCTTGTTAACGCCGCGTTTTGCCAAATGTTAGAAACATTCACTCGGCACACTGAGGATTCACAGTGCGGTTCGGTGACCCCTACAAAGTTGTTTAGGGAGCCGCCCCTGCAGCATCCGTCATACCCTTCACTGAGCCGCGTTGCACTGTATACACTTCACGCTACACTTGTAGACAACCTTGCCTATTAAAGTAATTTTCTGTGTGTCTATCTGTGTGTGTGTGGACGTCAGGGATGCGTTCCTGAGTATCGAAACGGCGTTATACCGAAGCGATTGATAGTGTGATGGTGGTGGTGGTAGTGGTAGTAGTAGGTGGTGGTGGTGGTAGTGGTGGTAGTAGTAAGTGGTGATGGTGGTAGTAGGTGGTGGTGGTGGAGGCGAAGGGGCTGAGAGGCGATGGATAACGAGAGAGGACGAACGGTGATGCTGTCAGCGACGTGAGTGTGGGGGTTGAGGCGACGCAAATCGGGTGGCGATGTTAATAACGTGACCACCTAATTTGCGAAGCGACGTTAAATCAGAGTATCACTGTAATTTCTGTGCGTTTTGGGTCTCGATTAAGTCGGCTGTAGTGTTCATGATAGCGTATAGTGGTGCACTAGTTATGCATCGATTGCAAATGATAACCAAGGGGGGGGGGGGGGGAGAGTGGGCGTCATGATGGATCCCGTAACGCTCTCCAGCAACGCCTTATCCCACTGGAACAGTTTCATTATCGATAAACTAGAATCGCGCAACATTCGCGAGTTTCCCCTCCATCTGTCCACACGCGCAGGGGCGGAGCCAGGATTTTGACTTTGGGGGGTTGCTGACTTCAACATTCTGAGATATCCAGTTTATGTTTTCCAATTGGCGCCACAAATGTATGAAACAAATTTTATTGGATTTGAACGCGGAGTTAATTAATAGGTCGGAGCCGCTGACGTGGCCGATAAGTTTGAAAGGCTGCCGCTCAAGCAGCCTGTAGGGCAGCACACAAGGTGGCAGCACAAGGTGGCAGCCTGCAGGACAGCACGAGGTGGCAGCCTGCAGGGCAGCACAAGGTGGCAGCCTGCAGGGCAGCACAAGATGGCAGCACAAGGTGGCAGCCTGCAGCATTTTTGGAGCAGCCAGATATCGGGTTATCCCGATTACCGACTTTCCCAAAATTTCAGGGGGGGCCAAGCCCCCCCCCAGCCCCCCCCCCCTGTGGCTCTGCCCCTGCACGCGCATGATGCCTCCCCAAATCGGTACGTCAGATGACAGCAAAAATAACAACTGGGTGCGGAGTGTAAATGATGATAATTTATTTATCCAGGAAGTTACACAGAATGAGCATTCCTGAATCCTTACCCTTGGGGTTCCTCTAGAAATGGCAAAAAGCCACTGAGAGTGGCCACGTGGAGGAGAGGCTGCTACTCTGTACAGAGCTGGACCGGTACCGCCTGGATCTCTGTGGCATTCAGGAGATCCAGTGGACTGGCTCTGACTCCAATCATCATGAGGGGTGCAGAGTCCTCCTCTCGGGCAGGAGAATGCCAAACAACAAGGAGTGGCTCTAATTCTGAAATAAGAATGAAGGCGGCGTGGGAAGCTGGCGGCGAGGTGTGGGAAACTGTAAGCCCCAGGCTACTTTGGGCTCGCCTCCCCATCAACAGGAGGCAGAAAATGGTGGTGATGGTGGCTGCTTACGCCCCCACCGAAGATGAACATCAGTGGAGGAATGCAGGCATGCCCGTGGATTCAGATTCCTTCTATGACCTCCTGTCACAGGTGTTAGCTAAAAGTGGCCCCTCGGGATAGAGTCATCCTGTTGGGTGACTTCAATGCCCGAGTTGGTCATGATGCTGGAACCTGGTCTGGAGCGATTGGAACAACTCAATAACAACGGTAGGAGGCTGTTAGACTTCTGTGCAGCCTGTGGACTTGTCATTGCCAACACGCTGTTCTGGCATCTGTGCATCCAGACAACATCATGGATTCACGCCGGGTCCAAGCAAGAACATCCGCTGGACTATATAGCAGTGGACCAGCGAATGCAGGCCCATGTCCTTGACACCAGAACCTACAGTGCTGCTGACCTCACTGACCATTAGCTTTTCATATGTAAGATCTGTGGGCTGGGTAAATCTGTGAGCAGGAGCGAGAGATAATTAAACTCCCAAGCATTCACTACGTTATAAACAACATTTTCACTCATAAGTCGCTTGCCTAATTGCCTCAGCAACTAGGTGTTTCGTATCGAATCTCATCTCAAACAATCGAAGGGCACCCCTAAGTGGCAGCTGCCCCTGTGTGGCACAAGGTGGCCCTCCACCGGCCTGCACCTGGTATAATTATGTCGGTAGGGGGCAATCATTGATGCGTCATCTACGTTGTGGGGTTTCCGGATAATGTTTACCACAATTTTGACCGTGACACCAACATGCAATGACCTGTGCGTTGTGAGTGACACAATACCCTGTTTGACATCCGCCGTGAAGCAGAACAGCGCATATTGTGGTGAATGTTACTGGTGTAGCCAGGTGTGCCTGTCGGATTTGAACTTTGAATCTCTGCAACAAATAGAGAATGCGCTACCATATTCCTGGTTCTTTCGGTAAAGTCACGTAGATAGAAAACAAAAAATAAATAAAATAAAATATTAAAAAATGAAAAAAATTAACACAAATAACAAATAAAAATAATAAATTTAAAAAAAATTAATTAAAAGATGCCATGGGTCGACTGACTCAGATGACTGGCCAATGCACCGCCTTTGCCCTCCACTACACACTGTGTGTGTATGTATGTACACGCAGTGTACGTACATACATACACTGTGTACACACACACAGTGTATGTACGTACACACACACAGTGTGTACACACACACACTGTACACACAATAATGTCCACGTTGTTGTTGCTGAGTTCACGCACCCAAGGGAGGGGCAATGGAAAATGAATCTAAATCAACTTAAACTCCATCTCCGCTCTGTGACGTCACCACTCAGCATGACCTCAACGGCATGAAGTGCCAGCGGGAGGTGTACCTCGCTAGTGACGTCATGACACCAAGGTATTCACACTCCCCCAACCCCGTCCACCGCGCTCTTGACCGTGACGTCACCTCCGCTTGGGTCACTACCGATATCAATCCAGTGGCAATCCTTATTTGGGCAAAGGTACGCCCAGTGACTGGCGGTTAATTAACATAATGTATTCGTTGAAGCCGTCGAGTGTTTATTGTGACGGGTTCAGCAGCCACGCCCCCATCCCTCGACATATGGCCCAGACTCATTAACATAATTTGTTCATATTCTTAGTTTTTTCGGTAAAGTCACGTTGAAGAGAAACAACAAAATAACAAAATATATATAAAACAATAAAAAATTCTCACGACGTTTCAACGTGACTTTACCGAAAAAACTAAGAATATGAATTACTGCAGTCACGAAAGCTTTAAATCAAAATATAATTTGTTCAGTTACAGAGCTGCTCATTGTGGGAGGGGCGTGTTTCTTACCCCAGAAGTGACGTCATGTTACCTGCTTACCCGCGTGCCGTCGCAAGGTAACAGGAGGCTGCCGATCCGCGCTTGCACTGAAATCCGAGGTGAGAAATTCTCATCATGGTGGTGGTGGTGGTTGTTGTTGTTTGCCAAGGTAGAGCCTCGCTCTCTCGTAGGGATGTCAGTTGAGTAGCAGCGAGCATGGGAATCGATGTCCAGGTTGGAACTTTACAACGCGGGGCCTAGCCACGCGGGGCCTTGCCTCCTGCCCTCGCCTGATTGCGTTTACTTTAATTATCTCGCTTAAGTTTAATTTGTCTTCACCCGGCTCGCCACTTTGTAACTTTGTTTTATTGTAAATATTCACGCAGTTTTTATTTTTTTCACCAGGCCAAGCCCGCTTGAGCTGCTATACCGCTCTTGTTATCAGAAGCGACCTGCCCACAACAACACAAGGTGAGGCTTTGTCAACGTGTGTGAATGTTTTGACTTAAAACTTTGGTGACTGCAGGAATTAATATTCTTGGTTCTTTCGGTAAAGTCACGTAGATAGAAAATAAAATAAAATTATGAATTAAATTAAACATTGAAAATGAAGCAAAAAACCCACGACGTTTCGATCTCAACACAAGTGGTCTTTATCTTATTGAATTTAATCTGTTTTTATTTTCTGCCTACGTGACTTTACTGAAAGAACCAACAATACGTGCGTCAATGTATCTATCGGTCAAAGACGCTAAGCGCGTGCCGCTGTTGACTCTGAATGTGTGGAGGGGAACACCTTCACCACGGGGAGAGAGAGACAGAGACACGGATAGCCTCGGCTATGTTGATGATCCTCGATTCATTACTTGGTGGAGTGAGGAAGAATTAATGCTGAGCAGATGAAGGTGCCCAGGCATGGTTCTGGTCACACCACCACCTGTTTACTCATACCAGTGTGTGACAGTGTCAAGTTTGTGTTTGAAGTAAAGTCTATTAACTCTGTTGAACACGAAGATATATAAAAACAGTTTATTTTTGTTTTCCTCTGGAACTCTTTATAAGAATGGAAACAGGAGGTGAACACAGCACACACATGCAGCTGAATTCGGAACTGTTCATCCCAGCATTCAAGGACATCTGAGCCTGGATTCACACCTCTAAGTTGCGATTGAACATTAATTTCTGCATAACACAAATAGTATTGTTTTCAACACCCTTTGCTATGTCAGCTGAATTTAGCTCTCATAAATATTCATTTTGTAGTCAGACAGCCGAAATTGTGTGCTTAGAGTTTTGAGTTAACATTCATCTTGGAAGATATGAAGGCTTCCAGGCATATTAATGACATTTTCCCTCTCATTGTGTGCTATAACAGCCCGTGGAGAGAAACCCTTCAGGTGCACTCTCTACGTGAAGGCGTTTGCACGTTCATCAAATCTGATGAATTTGAGAAAAATTTCATTACATCATGAATATATTAATAAGTATAGACGTGTAAGTCACGTGTGCATTCCTCTGTGCCTGACGTGTAGATGGTGTGGATATTCTTTTTTTCTGTCTGCAGCTGACGCTTCCTCTGCAGAATTGGTCTGATGGAGCAAAGGCAGTCAGCGCAGCTCGGTACGACAAGTCAACAATGCGACCAGCGTGCATACAGCACGGACCGGACTGGAAATTTGACACGGCACCAGAGAACTCGCACAGGAGAGAAACCCTTCAAATGTACTGTGTGTAACAAGGCATTTGCATGGCCATCAGTTTTTCAGAACCACCAGAGAACACACACGGGAGAGAAACCCTTTAGGTGCACGATGTGCGGGATGGCGTTTGCACAGTCATGTAATCTTGTAACACACCAGAGAACACACACGGGAGAGAAACCCTTCAAGTGCAGTGTTTGTTGGAAGGCGTTTGCACGTTCATCACATCTTGAAGTACACCAGAGAACACACACGAGAGAGAAACCCTTCAAGTGCAGTGTGTGCGTGCAGGCGTTTGCACAGTCATCTGATCTTGTAAAACACCAGAGAACACAGAAGCATCAGAAGATCCACAAGGAGTGGAGTCTGAAATCAGCTTGTGAAAGTCAAAGTGCCGCAATGAGCCCATCCCTCATGAAACAAGAACCGGACGAAAATCCCAGCTTGGACACTTTTAAAGGTATCGAGGTGAAATATGAAGAAGTGAAGGTGAAGAGGGAAGAAGTGATGAGCGAATAAGTGAAGGTAAAATGTGAAGATGAAGATTCAACTCCAAAATGGGACCTTCACATCGTAAAGCAGGAGGAGAATTCTGACTGAGGCAGAGTGAGGCAACTCCCAGCAGTTTGTGGAAGTGGAGGTGTGGGTGGACTTGCTCCTAGACAATACAATGTCAAGTGGAGACCCGGTAGATGTGTAAGCCAGAGATGATGTTGCTCCAATAGATGCACCTTTGTCACAGGCCTTTAATGACAAGAATGTGAAGTTGAACACTTTGTGGGCCCGTGGGTTGGGTAGATCTCTAACCAGGAGCAAGAGCCAATAAGCTCCCAAGCATTCACTATGTAATCATAATAATTGCTTTTACATGGTGCTTGCTTAATCGCCTCAGCAACTCAGAGTTTTGTATCTCATCTCAAACGCTCGAAGAGCATCCCCAAGTAGCAGCTGTCCCTGTGTGGCACAAGGTGGTGGCCCTGCACCGGCCTGCATGTGGACAAGAGCCTGTCAGTAGGGGGCGATGGTTGATGTGTCATCTCAGTTGTGTAGTTTGTAAGTAATGTTTAGAATTTGCTACATTTTCACTCAGATGCCAGCATGCAATGGCCTACTCGTTTTGAATGACACAATAGTATGTTTTACATACACTGAAGCAGACTGTGCAATTTTTTTAAAGCTTGTTTATACGATGCAACGTGATGCAGTATATTTCACTGA